CTGAGCCTTCGTCGTACTCATCGTAGGTGAATATGACGATGCCGATTTTGTTAACGACGCCCTTGAGGAGCTCTTCGCGCACGGCGGCTATGGCGTCGGTGATCCATTCGCAGACCAGGGGGTGCCGCGATTGGTAGACGATGGCGTTGTGGAAGCGGGAGCGGGCGAAGGAGGTGGTGGGGTAGATTTCGCGGTGGTGGAGGAGCGTGTGCGTGTAGGCGGTTAGGAAGGTGGTGAAGTGGTTGAGGGTTTCGAGGTAGGTTGCTGGCATCGTGGCGGTGGGTGTGTGGCGTGTGGTAGTAGGAGTGTGATTGTTCTATTCGTGGACGGAGTATGTATGCGCCTCAGGTACGAGATAGTGTTGTGCACTTTGAGTAGCGGATTGTAGTCATGACGCAGACGCGTCTCGTCGCGTGAAGGCGCTAGCGTGTCGATGGATAACGGTCACGGCTCTGGTAGGGTTGCTGATCGGTATGGCAGACGTGGTGCGTATGCTGTGTCGAGTGCCCCTGGCATTGTTGAGGATAACAACGTGGCAGCAAGGGGAGGGTTGGGGAGAGACGAATGTGTAGGTAATAGTCGCGTTTCCACCGACCGGGAACTGGGAAGAGGCATCGTCGTCACCGCCTGTCGGGCAATTGGCCACCTCGCCCTTCGTTATAGCCCAGCTGCCATACTCCGCCTTACTCCTGTATCAGTCTCTGACGTCTATACCCATCTGCTACCTACATGCAGTCGTCGCGGCTTATTGCTTCAGCTATAGCCTCCGCTTAGCCACCCCACCACCCAGAGATTCACGGAGTTGCCCCGCATCTCCGAGCGCGTTCTTTTTCCTCGCGCTCAATCACCCAGCAGCACCCATCAACAAACGCGTCAACGCCCGATCCTTCTACCTCGCCAGCCGTTTTGGGGAGCGCTAGACGTGCCGACTAGCTCTATACGCGCATGCCCCACGTTGACCATGGAGGACCAACTAGTCCAGCTGCTATCAGCAACCCAAACCGCCCAGGAGGACACGCGCAAACACGCTGAGCAGCAGCTGCTCTCCCTCTACGGCCACCAGGAGCTCCCCCTCGGCCTCATTGGCATCGCCTGCCATGATAGCGTGCCGCTCAACATCCGCCAGGCCGCCGTCCTGTACCTGAAGAACATTGTGCTGGCGGGATGGAGTTCCAGCCTCGACGAGTGGAAGGGGCAGGCGCTCGTCTCGGAAGAGAACAAGGCTGTAATACGGCAGCAGCTGCTCAACCTCGCCACCCAGGACGGGCTCGACCGCAAGCTCAAGGCCGCCGCGGGCCTCGTCGTGAGCAAGATCGCAAGCGCCGATTACCCCATCGAATGGCCAGATCTCCTCGACAACCTCCTCGCACTGATACCGAACGCGACCGAAGGCCAGCTGCATGGCGCTCTCAGGGTGCTCGGTGAGCTGGTGGAGGACTGCTTCAACGAGACGACCTTCTTCCAGGTCGCGCCTCAGATGATCAAGGTCCTGTTCAATGTGGCCACCAGCGAGCAAACAAAGCCGACGCTGAGGGCCTTGGCTGTGAAAGTCTTCCATGGCTGCTTCGATATCCTCGAGATGGTGCTGGAGGACCACAAGACTATGGTGAAGAGCTTCGCGGATGAGATACTCAAGGAGTGGATTCCCTTCTTCGTCAATGTCCTCAACAACAGGCTACCTGATCCGCCGTCAATCGACGAGGAGGACTCGGATGCGCCCAACGCCCTGCTCTACAAGGGACAGATCGCGCTCAAGCTACAGTCAGTCAAGGTAGGTCGTGTCAAAAGCTGAACATCCTGGAGCCTACATCGACGCTGGGTCACCCACTTTGCATGTTTTCATCTTGATGTAGCCTCCAGGCCTGTTCAGCCTTTTCATTTAAGGTGTTCCCGATACTAACAGTTCGCAGGTCCTCATGCGCATACGGTCCGTCTTCCCCGCTATTCTCTCGCCGCAAAGCATCGTCCTATTCCAGGCAACCTGGCAGGAGCTATCCCTGCTGGAACCCGCATACTCTCTCATGTACATAAAGGAGGATCGTCAAAGCAGGCTAGAAGATGCCGACGGCCTGCCGTACACGCTAGACTTCCTGATCCTGGAGGAGCTGGACTTTATGCAGGCGTGTCTTCGTGCACCCCCGGTCCGCGCGCAACTCGAACAGGAACTCCAAAACCAGACACCCGACAACTCATGGGTCACCCAGGTTATGAAGCTGGCCGTGGCCTACGCGCAAATCACTACAGAAGAAGAGGGCCTCTGGGATGTGGATGTGAACATTTTCCTGAGCGAGGAGACAAGTGTCACCGCGAACTACACGCCCCGCACAGCCTGTGGTGACCTCGTCATCAAGCTTGGCGAGTGGCTGCAAGAGCCTACTGTCAACGGCTTGTTGACCTACACAAGAGCGCTCTACTCGGAGTCAGAGAGCTGGAAAGCGAAAGAAGCTGCGCTTTACGTGCTGAACCAACTGTTGAGCGATTTCCAGGACGTGGACAAGCAGATCAGTCCGGATGCTGCAAGCGGCTATGTGGACTTCATCCGGTATGCCATGCAGCAGCCCGACGCTTTCCTGAGAGCACGCGGCTACCTTGTCGCTGGAAGCTTGACAAGGACATCCGGGGACGCTCTGCAACAGCTCGGCACATCCTTCCTCGAGGCATCGCTACAGGCCATTCCATCTGACGAGTCCGACGTTGTCCAAGTGTCATGTATCCGCGCTCTGCAATACTATCTTCAAGCGCTCCCACCTGCGACTACACAGCCCATGCAAGCACCTATCATCATGGCCATCAGCAATTATCTGGCTGCACAAGATATGTCAGAGCTCAGCGACAGTGAAGATCTCATGGTCACTCTGGTCGAAACACTCCGAGACGCCATACTCATTGATACGCGGATATGCATCACAGACAATGGTCTCGACACACTCTTCCGAATTGCTAGTCATCAAGCTAACAACTTCCAACTCACCATGCTAGTCACCGAGGCCTTCGAAGAGGTGACGGAGACTATTGCGCGAATGGGCGGGGATGCGTACGTTCAACTGTGCGCAAGGGTGCTTCCATCACTCATGGGTGCCTTTGATGTTGGAAGCTTGACGGAGGAGAATGCTTTATGCAACTTTGCTGCTGATCTTCTGGCTGTCATGGCTGAGCATGGACCAGAGCCGCTACCCGCTGGCTTTGTCGCTACAACCATGCCAAAGCTCACAAGAGTCCTGCTAGGCTCTGCCGATGAGGAGCTGCTGAAGTCTGCTACGACTGCTGTAAAGAACATCATCTCGCATGACCACCAACAGCTCTTCGAATGGCGCGATGACACTGGGAAGGCAGGTCTTGAGGTAACTCTCATCATCGTCTCACGTCTGTTGTCTTCATGCAGCGACCATGCTGCTGGCGAAGTCGGTGCGCTTGCCGCAGAGGTAGTAGAGAAGGCCGGTCACGAACGACTTGGGCCTTACCTAGAGCAACTCCTACGAAGTGTCGCTGTCCGCCTAGGCCAAGCAACACAAGCACAGTTCATCCAAAGTCTGACGCTCGTATTCGCGCGTCTAAGCTTGAACCATGCCTCAGAGGTGGTAGACTTCCTGGCTGGCCAGGACATCGAGGGCCAAAACGGCCTCCAGGTTGTGCTAGCCAAGTGGCTCGAAAACTCGATCAACTTCGCCGGTTACGACGAGATCCGACAAAAGTACGTACGAACCTCTCCGGAAATCGAGCAGTTCTCTTACGAACGGAGAAAGCCTGTTGGAAGGCTGGAGATCGTTCGGAATAAGTTGAACTCCCCCTTTTTCCTTTTATGTTTACTCGATGACTGTGCATAATTGCTGACTTTGGTTTGCAGTGTCATCGCTCTTTCAAAACTGTATGATTTGAAGGACCCTCGTCTTGCGCAGGTCCAAGTGCAGGGTGACTTGATACCGAATACCGATGGCCGCATCATGACCAGGAGTCGCGCGAAAGCTAGTAAGTCTTCTCTTTTCACGTCTACCTCCCTGTATTTGCCACTGAACGCAGTGATTGTCATGTTGTGGAGCAAATTTGTAGGCCGTAGTGTCGTTGTCGCGAACCAGTGCGATAAACTCCTCTTACGCCCATCCACAAACTGACACACGATTTCAGATCCTGACAAGTATACCATAGTACCCGCACCCCTCAAGATCCTCAAAGTCCTCGTCGTCGAGCTCCAATCCGCCTCTGGCGCACCCCTCGACGCACAAGCAGCTGCTGAGCTCGCCGAAGAAGAATCTGATGACGGCGAATGGGAAGACGAGGCGAACCCTTTCATGGACCTCGGCAGTGGCTTTAGCAAAGAGCAGCTCATGGCTTTTGCTGCTGAAGAGCCGGGCGGTGGCCGTCAGCGCGACGACGAGACGCAGGGTTTCTTGGTTGATTTCTTCAAGCGCGCGGCGACTACGCAGGGTTTTGCGGAGGAGTTTGGACAGCTTACTGAGGAGGAACAGCAGAGGTTGAGGGATAGTGCTGCGTAGTGGGTGGGTTCATGTGGGAGTTGTCCGGAGGATGGATCAGTTCCTCGTTACTGTGCGTGTTCGACATGAGATACCATACTGTCGGAGCTAATAGATAGCTGAGTTGGATGAAGGATCACGATCGATACATGATAGTATGAGAAGTCACGCTTAGCAGCGACTGGCTATACGAAGCTATAGCGAATTTCATCAGGTATACATTTCAGCAACGAAGTTCCCTTGACGGTAATTCGAGGTCGTCTGCAGAGACTACTCAGTGGCGCCGATGCGGCTAAGATATGTGACAAGGGCAATGCGGCCACAAACGCCCAGCATTTCGTTTGCATGGGAACAGTCCCGGATATAGCCAAAGTACCTAGATATATCGCGTCACATGACTTACTCGCTTGCCATTCAGAAGGATGGCAACCGACCAACTGCGGCGCATAGCCACCAATTGGTGCATCCTTTCGGCAAGGGCCAGCACTCGACCCTCTCTGACTGTAGTGACCGTCTACCACCCCAACAACCATGGCTGCTACACCAGAACCGCCCCGTATGAGCGAAAAAGCTACCGTCGACGCTCCCGCTCCAGCGCAGGACCAACAACCCAGCGCACCGCCATACTCCATCTTTACCCGTAGCGAAAAACGATGGATAGTCTTCCTCGTCGCATACGCAGGCCTCTTCTCCCCTCTCAGCAGCTTCATCTACTATCCCGCACTGTTCAATATCGCCGAGGATCTGGACATCACACTCACCATGGCGAATTTGTCGATCACGACCTACATGCTTGTATCCGGGATAGCGCCTTCACTACTGGGTGATATGGCGGATACCATGGGCCGCCGACCGCTGTTTCTGTTTGCGATATTTACGTATACGGTTGCTAATGTGGGGTTGGCGGTTCAGAGGAGTTATCCCGCGTTGCTTGTGCTGAGGATGGCGCAGAGTGCGGGGAGTAGCGGTGGGTTTATGGGAGTTTCTCCATGTCAAGGTGCTTGCTGATGTGAAGGATCTTTAGGCACGATTTCGTTCGGCTACGCTGTTGTCAGTGATATCGCTACGCCTGCTGAGCGAGGTGGGTATATTGGAGCAGTTCTGCTGGGGTATGCTACAACCACATTACGAACGTGATAGTCTTTCTAACTACTATGACCTAGTCCGAACGTAGCGCCCAGTCTTGGTCCCGTTCTAGGAGGTATACTCGTCCAATACGCCGGATGGCCTTGGATCTTCTGGACGCTTGCGATACTATCCAGTGTTAACTTCTTCATACTCGCCATTACGCTCCCAGAAACCGCTCGCAAGATCGTTGGAAACGGTTCGATCATGCCTACACGTCTTTTGAACAAGTCATACTTAACGCAAATGAAGCTCAACTCAAAGAAGTCGTCAGTAACGAGCTCCGAGACCGGGATCGATGTTCAGCCGATGCGAATGCCCAGTCTCAAGCCCTGCTTCAAAGCACTCTGGCAGAAAGAGAACGCACTGATCATGCTCATCAACGGCCTGTTTTATATGACTTACTGCTGCGTCCAAGCATCGCTGTCAACTCTCTTCATAACAATTTACGGCTTCGAGGAACTGTATGCTGGTTTAATATACATTCCGTTCGGAGTTGGTTGCGCTTTGGCTTCATACACTTGCGGTAAGTAGCGCATACCACGTACACTCAGACTAATAGATAACAGAAAGCAGGGTACGTCATGAACTGGGAATACCGTAGAGTCGCGTCTAGTTCCGGCTTCTCGATTGATCGAACGCGCGGCGATGATCTTCTTGACTTTCCTATCGAGAAGGCTCGCTTGCGGGCTACGTACTTTTACATGAGCGTTGCAGCTATGACGACTATCGGGTATGGATGGTCTTTGGATAAACGTACGGTAAGATTTCCATCAAATACATCGCTCAATTCTGATAGTACTAAAATCTCACTAGCACTTTGCGGTGCCTCTGGTTCTGCAATTCTTCATCGGCGCCTCCATCACGGGAGTGTTCAACGTACGTATGTCAACAAGCGCATCAGACGAGTCTTCTAACAATTTAGGCTTGCGGTACTTTACTTGTAGATGTCAATCCGGTGCGTCCTGCAACAGCTAGTGCGGCTGCCAATCTGTTCCGTTGCATTCTCGCGGCCGCAGCTCTGGCAGCTTTGGACGCCATTCTCTCGAAGTTGGGAACTGGATGGACGTTCACCTTATTGACAGGTCTCACTCTATTCTCAGTACCTATGGCGTTTCTACTACAGCATTCTGGGAAAAATTGGAGACGAGGGACTCAAGGTCAATCATTGCGGTGTTGAGATCACGAAGACTATAAAGGCCTGGTGCTGTATCGCGGAGCTATCGACTCTGCGCTCCTTTACACCGATAATGTCGTTGCAGGTCGGCCTTTCCAAACACCAGCCGACCTAGTGTAGCTTTCTCCTTCTTGACATACCGTTCCAGCCAATTCGTCTTGCACCTGGGTCCGTGAAGGCTCTTCCCCCGGTGCATATGGTGCATACTTATCGACAAGATAGCACATATCCCTATACGCCCTGTATCGCCGTCAGTAACCCCCCTACTCAGCACTCCAAAGTCAAACTTACATCTCCCTCTCCTCACACCCCGGATGATGCGCTGAACGAACAACATTCATCTTAACACAATACAACCGGTTGCGATCATCAAACTCTTCCACCGGCTCATCCACACCCATGACCCGAAGATACTCTTGCTTATACTCTGCCTTCTTCGCGAACTCGTATCTTTCGTACCGCCACATACCAAGGTCCATTTCATGATGCGCATAATACGCACCGGCGTCGAAAATATAGACGTTGCCATTCGAGACATCTGTAGCGACGTTGCCTTCCCATAGATCTCCATGGATGAGCGATGGCTTGATCTCGCGGCCGTTTTCTTCGAGCGCACCGAGAAGACGGGGAATTACGTGGCTTAGGACGCGGGCGGAGATGGCTTCGTACTCTGGCCATGGGTCATTTTCTTTCTTCTCGATCGAGAGAGCGGTGCGGAGGAGCTTTGTGAAGAAATTGGGCCAGCTTGTGTCCCAAGATACTTCCTGGGCGAATCGGCCGTGGCAGGTTGGGATGGGGAATCCGAACATTCCTGTAGGGGATTGACTGCATTTATGCAATTGCGCGAGTTTGGCGCAGAAGAGGGCAGGTTCTGGCAGGGTATTCGCCATGTCGATGAAGTCGCATAGGAAGAAGTACGTCTCCGGCGCTTCGAGCTTGAACTTGCCCCAAGTATGGGGCTTGGGGACGAAGTTTGGTGTTATCTCGTAGAGTGAGGCCATGGAGTTGTACTCGCCTTCTATCATTACCCGACCGGCTTCATCGGTGGCGATCTTGAGGAAGTATTTTTTCTCGACGCTATCTGGGAGGAGGACGATCAGGCAGGCAGTGACGGTCCAGTCAGAGAAGCCATGGCGGTTGGATGAGAGGACTTTGCTTCCTTCGGGGAGAGCTATTGAAGATATCAGTAAAGACGAAGTAATAGTTTGTAGTCTGCGTACCCCGAAGTACAGCCTCGTCGATAGGAAAGTCGCCTTTGTTATCGTCACTCCCGTCTCCTTCCTTCGCGATTGAATGTACGGCTTCTGACATATCGGCTTCAGACAAGGACGTGACAGCAAGTTTGAGCAGGCGAGAAACTCTCAAGAGTACACGATGTTAACACGTCGGGTTATTGTGTTACATATGATATCATCGCAGTGAACTGGTAGTGAATCCTCCTCACCACAGGCACACGACACCTGATAACAAACTCAACTACGCCTCATACGCCGCACAGCAACTGCGTTATGACCACATTCCGAGACCAGCTCTTCTGTATGCACATATTGATACCCATTACCTGGTAAGATACGAGTGTCAGAACCGCAATGACTGTACCTCAATCATCAGCATTACTCGCCACACTGGCCATCAAACACACACTCTACAATTCAAAATACTCAGAAACTCCGAAGACCACCTTCAAAAGCACATCATCGACCCTACGAATCCCTTACCCTGTCGTGTAACCACACCTCTCCCCCTTGCATCGCTATCGATCTCCATCCGGTTAGTTCAATACAATACACTCATCACATAAGCCGGGAATGCAGCCTCGTCCTTTACCCCGCTCGCATGTGACGACTGAAATAGAAACAAACAATCGGCGCGCTAGAAGGGTGTTCGCATGCGCAGTGCATGCAGTTCACGGCACAGGAATAGCAAAGATAGTACCTGATAAGGGACGATCTGTGACGCACAGTAAGCCTATACAATGGAGGGGTTGTTTGGTATGGACAAAGGAATATTTTGACAGTGCCTTGCGGCAGGGTGATGGGAATGGAATGGGTGTTGGAGGGGTAGTGGATGCATGGAGGGGTGGTGTTGCGGGCGCTTATGCGCAGTGAGGGATTGGTGACGCTGGCGAGGGCACGTGGGAGGTGGAAGGGATATCGCTGTCCTGGTCTGGCGGGAGGTTGCGCTTCGGATCGAGATTGTTTTGGTGTTGCTACGTTGGCCGTGGGGGTACTTCGTGGTGTACCCGCCAGGTTGACAGTCGTCCTTGGAACTCACGTCTGCGACTTGAGGTTACATCATACCTGCTTGTCACCTGCACTTAGACCGGCGGTTAGTGTTTCTCAGTGCAAGTGCCGCTGAAGAAATAATGCGCGTATGCACACGCCTATCCGAGTCTGCCTCCCAGCGCGCATTTCTCCGGCATTTCTCAAAAGAACCCCAATCACGCAGAGGGTACAGCGCTTAATCCTCCATTTCGCAGCCCGAAGCCACCCACCAGCAAACCGAAAAGCGCAGCTGACCACACCCACGATGCATATAGCCAGATCGCTCATTCGTCAATGTAACGAGAACAGAACGCCAGAGGGGAGCGGTATAGACGTGGCATGTCTCTGGCTCAAACTTTTCGACCCCTCCACACCCCTCACCGTGAACGTACTGTACCACACAAGCGACGCATCGGCCAGCTCCGATCATGGTAGCCAGAAACTTGCCAACAGCCGCGATCTCGATGCTCGCACAGCATGAATGATCTCGCATTGACCGATGTATGACGATAGACGATCTTGTGACCACGCGTCCATCTACCCGCCATTACGATTCCCATGTTCCGCTCCGGCACCGTGATGCGGTAGGTGAAAAGAAAACCTTGGAAGTAGGCGAAACAGTGACATAGGCAAAGGCGGTTCACGCGGAGTGCCAGCGGGGTACAAAAGTGGATAAGCAGGAGGGGGAGAGGAACTGGACGGGTGGGTCTAGGCGGGGTTTAGTCTGGCATTCGTCATATGCCGCGGCTTGCCTGATGTACTCGCTTCGCTTGCTGCTTGGGTGCTTGGGTGCGAAGGGACGTGGAATAGGGGACCGGTTCATGCACGATGGCACCGGCCACGTGTTTTGAAACACCGTAGTCGCTCGCCGATGGGCATGGCCTGTGTGTGTATATGTCACGCTTCTGCATGAACTGCTGGTAGGTTTGACGATAGCGATAGTGTAGGCATCAGGTGTTCTGCGAGGCATGCACATGCACCCCGGATTCGCGTTTTCGCGACCCATTGCATTGACGCGATTGGGACATTCAGGCAAAGTGCTCGCCCATGGTGATGTGATGAGCTTGCCTGTTTAGCAGGATGATGTCGTATAGTTGCGACGGAACACGATCCGGCGCGACGGAGAAAGGTCCAGAAGCAGACATGTTTGCTGGGACGCAAAGGTCATCTGGAAAGCGATCGCATGTGCTACGCCGGAGTAGAACAATGCTATTCGTTCGTTGGAGCGATTCGCACAAACGATCCAAGTACCACACTCATTCAGCCGTGGAAAGCACTGAGCACAAAAGAAGGAAGATGCGATGCCGCACCCAATCAATACGGCGCACCCCAACAGCGCTCACTCAGCTCGTGACACCCACCAAAACCGAAAAGCTAAATGACGGTAACTTAGCAGAGACTGTTGTGGAAGCCGATAGCCCTGGTTCTAGCCAACAGATCCCGTGGAACCCTTCCTGCCCCAACCTCGCGTCTTTTGTCATACACGGAGTACTAGCCACCCACCATCCTTCCCTTCCATCCGAGCCTCCCGACGACGGGCGATGTCTCTGTGCCTGTCGATCCCAAAACGCAGAATGATGCCAATCCTGCAACTCTATCAAAACTGTTGCCTAATCACCCCATGTCAGGGTGTGCCCTTGCGCAACGTTGACTCGTGTTATAACCGGGGATCAAGGCAGAGTGTGCCTATCAAAGGAGCTCCCGTGCCCAGGGATAACGCGACGCCTCTTAATCTTGAAATGGGAAGGGACGCGTGCGCTAAGCTTCGGGATGGGGTGGCATGGAACTTTATGAGGAAGGCGAGGCAGGGAAGGAGGCTGATAACGTTGAGCCGCATATGTGGCCGCTATTAAGGGGTGGTTTACTGTGTTGTGATGGCCGCGAGAGACCCTGGATGGAGGGACGGTAGGTAGATTCGCTGCAATGTCATCGTTGCATGCGATGCGCGCGAGCTGTAGGTACTGTGCGACGGCCATCCCAGAGCCCTGGGCCTTACCACCCACAACGCATTCGTAAATAGCACTTTGTGCACTCATGTCTAACCCAACCATTCCTCCACGCAAACGTGAGCAATGCCCTATTTCTTTTCCCGGCACGGATCGATATCAAGATAGCAAACCGCGGTCGTTCCACTCTACCAATCTAGAGGGCCAGCGCCAGGCGGCACGAACTCATCTGCAGGCCGTCGGATTGGATAGGTGGCAATCCTTCCCGCCTTCACGCGCCACGTTCAAGGCCATGGGGGTCGCGGAAAAAGCAAACATCATGACCTTGCCTCTTTGACGCATCCTGCAGCAGGCTTCCATGCACAGCGCTTCTTCTATGGTAAGGCTGAGGACAGCCCGAAACAGCCAATGAAGTTGGCCATGTGCATGCGCAAGCGCCCGTTGGCTGCAACAAGGCACCATCGTGCGTGATGATTCACTAAAAGGACTGTGATGAGTCTGCGACTCACAGTGCGACAGCGCCTCCTGGGAGCCTGGG